ATATATATCAGATTCAAGTAAGATAAATGTAAAGTATGGTGCAGAAGAATTTGCTTATCTATTTCTTTTCTTTGTGTTTGTTTTTATCTGTTGTAAAACACATCCTGTTACATATTCAGTGTGCTGCAGCATCCCCATCTCCCCTACTTCACAGTTCTTTAGAAAGTGGAAAGTAATGGATGTCTGGGATACACATCCTGTCTATGTTTTAATGTTATAAAGGTATAAATTCATACTCAATCATACCTGAATAATTGAAAAGTATTTTTACAGGTTGAAATTCAATTTTAGAAATATTTAGTTTTAGATAAGACTCGTTATGTTTTAATTTTGACAAGTAGATAGATCGCGTGTTTTGATTATATGATACAACGACCTGCCATAMCCATCCTACCACGTGACGCGATGTGTCTGAGGCCCTGACGGACGGTCCCGTCTGTTATGGCTCCTCCTGCTACAGTGGAACGGGGCCAGACGTAAGACCAGTGCAGGGGAACGGCAGTAACAGACGCGGCGGTACGCTTGTCTTCAGCTGCGGCGGACGATGGCAGACTGTGGTATGTTGAAGAAAAARACATAGACGGCGTGCTCGGCGTCGCCTCTTCTGCTGTGAAGGCTTCGACATTTTCTCAAGATTACCAACACCCCAAATGAACTCCGTCAGAGCAAGTAACGTTAGCAGAAGACCCAGGCGAGTGTCGAGGCCGCGCCCGGTGCAGCCGGAGAGGAATCACCAGGAAAGAGGTGATTTGACTTTTACTTTAACGAGGAGCTAGTTAAACAGTTTGGTGCTAGGTGTTTAATTGATTGTATGTGTTACGACTTGACAGCTTTTATGTGTTAATACGATGTCATGACGATAGAGCGACGTTAGCTGTTGCGGTTAGACAATGGGGCGACGGCGTTCTCGAATGGGGCCTTGCAGTCAGGAGACACCGAGGCTTCGGTGTTTTTTCTTAGCATTTAGGCCGCGCTTTGTTTTGCTTGATTTTATGCCCCGACACGGCCTTTCTTTTGCTTGTCTGACCTCGTACTGCTGCAGTTTTTAGTGTTTTTGTCCGATAAAACCGCACATGTCAAGAAATTAAACGGGGTGRGACAGCGGTTTGCTAAAGTCACTGGCAGGGGAGGGTACAATAAGYKCTTTCGCCAGTTGTCGTAGCATGCTAAGTTTTTGTATCCGGGGCTAGTTGGTTGTTGTTAGCATATTTTGGCTAGCCATCTACGTCCTGCTGTACACTATCCCCGCCCCCGATCTAAAATAAATAAATAAATAAAACCCCACTGCCTTCATAACCTTTGCGATGCTGTAATTTTGGTTAAATGTATTTGTAATAATAATATACGATTATAGTTTCTTCTCTACAGCCCTGCTGACAGCAGCTGTGTATGTATGACATCAAGTAGTGAAATATGAACGCTTATTGGCAGCAGTTTTTTTTCTTCTCCTAAATAAATATTTGTAGCTGCCGTGACCTATTGTAAGAATTAGATGTATTTCATAAGGTTATTTCATAAGGTTGTTGATGAATTTTAATTTGAATCCAATTCAGCGTTATTTGTGCTAGACTAGAAACAAAACATCTTTACATTTTTCAAGTGTCAGCTGCACATGTCTCCTCATCTAAAGGTGACAGAGAATAACTATCTGTTACCAAACTGAATCTGGACATGTTTATAATTAGGRGAATATAATTTATGTTGTTAAACAATATTTGTGTTGGTCAAATAAGGTGGGAGGGTACGTTATTCGTTTACAATTAAGGAGAAGTGGTTGTGATGCACTGTTTGCTGTGGTTTTTTGTAGCAGTTGGAAAATTATCTTTGCAACCAAAGAAGCAGACTTTGTTTGCGTCTTCCATCATAGGTTTCTATTAACTCAACATGATGAGTAGGCTTACAGATGTGGCTCAGCTGAGAGTTGATGTTAATGGGATTGTATTTTCTGTTGATTGAATCCCCTCTTGATGGGATTTGTGGTCGTCTTTTTATCCATACAAAGCAGGTACTGAACAAGGCAATATATTTTCCATGGTTTTAATTGTTACCCTCGTGTGAATACTGAATCCCAGTTTCCCATCTGTCAGATGTTGTGAAGTTGTTCTTTTGCACTGGCTTCAAAAATGACATTTTTCATCCTTCCTCTAACTGTAGATGAGGACATTCCTGCAGATATGGTTGCAGAAGAATCTGGTCCTGGAGCTCAGAATAGTCCCTACCAACTTAGAAGAAAGTCTCTACCCAAGAGAACAGTGTGTCCAACAAAGACAAACATGGAGGTACTATCAATATAAAAAAAAATATGTGAAGACGACAAAGTAACTGTTAAAGATTTTCAACATATATTTTCCCCTTTTTTTTGTAACCTCCAGGGTGCTTCCACTTCAACAACAGAAAACTTTGGACACCGACCCAAGCGTCCGAGAGTTTCAGGAAAGTCTCCTGATTTACCAGGTAATTAATAAGAAAAGCATCCTTTATTTGACAATACACCGCTACTACAAGTTCATTTATCATTGTGCTTTGATCAGTTTTGAGGTGTAATTATGAGTGTAATTAAACTGTCATACAATTAAAGCTGCAAGTTAACTTATTTAACTGCATCAGGTGTAGAGGGCTTTTTTTGCAAAGTCTGTAATTATGATTATTGTTTATTTTCATAATCACAATCATTTGTTTATGTATCGTCTGTACATATGTGTTATCTTAATGTTCAAATGGTGAAAAATGTTGTTTCTGGACAGTTTGTTTTCATCAATACACATATCTCAGTGTTTTAGTTCAACTAAAAACTTACATTGCTCAACAAACTATTTTGGGGAGAATAAAGAACAAGAGTGGTTGCTTTATTTTAAGGAGATTCTTTGTTTTCCTGTCATTCACCAATGCAGGGGTTTGTTTGGCTTAATTAGTGCCCTATAAAATCCATTATATTTTTTCCCAAATACTGTTTTTATTTTTCTAAATTCCACTTTTTCCGTTTTTTCYCCTAATTCAACATTTTCATTGTAACCATATTTATTAACCTTTAAAAGTGTGTCATTAGGAACTGTCTGAACAATAATTAAACAAATAAATAGCGACAGAAATAAAAAAATAATAATGTAATTTAACTTTCACTAATTTAACAAATAGCTGTGGTTCAGTAGAACATTAAATTGTTTTTGAAAGATGTTTAAAAGTATTTACTTAGAAAAAACCAGTCTTTATGTGTAAAACATAGAATCCCACATGATAGTTATCTTTTGTAAGATAAAAATGTTTTGGAATTTAACTTAACATTATAAAGAATCATAAACCTACACTTGCCATCTAAGCTCATTTACTTCTGTAATGGACACACACACACACACACACACTGTTTACAGTGCTTTATCAAAAAACGGACAAAGTTTTTTCAATTTTTCGATGCGTTTTCTGTATCGCAGAAATTATAGGGCCCTACAATGGTAACTGAATATTGAGATGGCAGATCAGGAAAAACTTGCAAAAATCACCAAATGGCAAATATYACTCAGTAAACTTTAAATGTAGAAATAAAACATGGTTTATGGATCTTTTTGTGCAGTTGTTTTTAGACATTGTGGTGTAAATATGCTTCTTGAATCCATGTTCTGTCCCAAAATTCTGCTTTAATTCCACATTTGTTCTCCTCTCAGCAGCTCCAGCAGAACAGTACCTGCAGGAGAAGCTCCCAGATGAGGTGGTGCTGAAGATCTTCTCCTACCTSTTAGAGCAGGACTTGTGCCGTGCAGCATGTGTGTGCAAACGTTTTAGTGAGCTGGCCAATGACCCCATCCTCTGGTGAGACTTCTTGGTGTTATTTTTTTAAAATCTGGACTCTGTTATGTAACCGAAATAATCTTGTTYTTCTTTTAACTCGCGGCTTCCACTTTCATTTTAAATGACTGACTTCCTTTCTCCTCATGTTTTAGTATTTAAATGAATTATTTGTGGGTTATGAAATTGTCACGTTGAAGAAAAAGGATAATTTAAACGTAAAAGCATGCATTTACTGAGTCAGAGGTTAAAGTAACAAATTTGATAACAAAAACATCAAACGCTTCAAAAAACTTTTTAACCAATTCTCTGTTATTGTTTTCCATTTTAGCACAAATGGAAGAAGGAGGGTATTTACTGTTAATGTGCTTTTGATTTTAAGGAAGAGGCTGTACATGGAAGTGTTTGAGTACACTCGACCCATGATGCACCCCGAGACAGGAAAGTTTTACCAGATAAATCCAGAAGAATACGAGCAGCCAAACCCGTGGAAGGAGAGTTTTCAGCAGCTGGTATGAAAGTTTAAAACTCTTTTCTTCATCTGCACTCATTTGATCATATCTATCAAATTAGATATGTTTAAATATATGTTTTAATTGTTATGCCATTAATTGTTCATGTTACATTGTTCATATGGTGTAATTAATAATGTGTTTCCTATTTATTTGTGATGTATTGTTTCATTGTTGCAGTATAAAGGGGCCCATGTGAAGCCTGGCTTTGCAGAGCACTTCTACAGTAATCCTGCCAGATACAAAGGAAGAGATAACATGTTTGTAAGTTCAAATTGAAACATTTATTAAAAATAATATATTTGTTGTTTTATTGCTCCTGTCATCCACACAACCTCTGCTCTCTGCAGTACTACGACACCATCGAGGATGCTCTCGGAGGAGGCCAGGAGCCGCACTTTGACGGCTTGATATTCGTCCACTCTGGAATTTACACGGATGAATGGATCTACATCGAATCACCCATCACCATGATCGGAGCTGGTAAATGTGTAATAAGTCATCATTGCAGTTTTATCCTACACTTRTTTAGTTTAATCTAAAGCATTTGTGTCCTTTTTAAAGCTCCTGGAAAAGTAGCAGAGAAAGTTATAATTGAAAACACCAGAGATTCTACTTTTGTATTCATGGAAGGCTCAGAAGATGCTTATGTTGGGTTCATGACCATCAGGGTAAGAAGCTGCATGGATCGTGCACACAACTTTTCTTATGACTTTGGTGGATAGATGAGATTTTAAGTGTTAACATGTTGATAACTGTCTCTGCTGTAGTTCAATCCTGATGATAAATCTGCTCAGCACCACAATGCACACCACTGCTTGGAGATCACGGTCAACTGCAGCCCTATCATCGACCACTGCATCATACGCAGCACATGTACAGGTCACCTGTGCCCCTTTTTTGTCTACTTTAGTAATCCCCGACCTTCATTTGGATTGGAAGATACTTTTGATGTGTTGTAGTAAAACTTGATGAGCCAAGAAAGCATGCTCCTGTTGTAACACTTCTTTATTCTCCCTGTTTCAGTGGGGTCAGCTGTCTGCGTCAGTGGACAGGGTGCTTGTCCCACAATCAAGCACTGCAACATCAGTGACTGTGAAAACGTTGGTCTTTACATCACCGACCATGCACAGGTAATACTTGTATTAAATTACCACTTAGATGTATATGACGGCTTTKTTTATGTTTATTATTAGGTCAGTTGTTTCCACAGATGCTGAAATTTGAATATAAAGCTACTAGGGGTGCAACAATACTTGGATCTGTATCAAACCATTCAATACACACTGTGTATTGAACAATACAAATTAAAACAAATTATTTTATCAGTTTGTCTTCTGAAGATGCTCTGTGTTGAAGCTCAGTGGATCTGTGTTCGACTACTCCACCTAGGCTGTATTGTGGAGCACAGATCCACTGAGAAACTTGCTGCTTTAKCAACATTTGCTTTAAAACTGTACTTTTGAAGTTAAACATTCATAATTAATTTCAATAAATTACAAATTAAGAAAGGCATGGACATTTATTTATTTATATTTTTATCGAAATAATATCGAACCGAATTGTGAATTTTCTGTATCGTTACACCCTTAAAAGCTACACACTTTGATTTTAAAAAATGTGAATRGTTATTTATATTTTTCAATATTGTTTATTGTTTAGGGAGTATATGAGGACAATGAAATCTCAAACAATGCTCTGGCTGGTATCTGGGTGAAGAACCACGGCAACCCAATTATCAGACGGAACCACATCCACCACGGCAGAGACGTAGGGGTTTTCACATTCGATCACGGCATGGTGAGTTCATCAGTCTATACTCGTGAAAGATCCCCGATGACATCATTAGCTATAAATGGGAACTGTTTAATATTTTGTATACACAGTTCTCGGGATATACAGTAATTTAGTTTCTTCATACCTTCCAGGGTTACTTTGAGAGCTGCAACATCCATAGGAACAGAATAGCTGGCTTCGAAGTGAAAGCGTACGCCAATCCCACAGTGGTTCATTGTGAGATCCATCACGGTCAGACCGGGGGCATCTATGTGCACGAAAAGGGCCGCGGTCAATTCATCGATAACAAGATCTATGCAAATAACTTTGCAGGGGTGTGGATCACCTCAAACAGCGATCCCACCATAAGGTCGGTGAGAGTGAAAAATGTCCGATTGTTCATGAAAAGTTGCCCTCACATGTCTTCAAATTCAAACTTTTGCTTGAACACAGGGGTAATGCCATTTATAACGGCAACCAAGGCGGCGTTTATATTTTTGGTGATGGCCGAGGCCTCATTGAAGGAAACGACATTTATGGCAACGCCTTGGCTGGGATCCAGATCAGGACAAACAGCTGCCCTATTGTGAGGCACAACAAGATCCACGATGGCCAACATGGTGGCATATACGTGGTAACTATAAAAAAAAACATAACCTATTCGCCGTTTAATGGTGCGATTAGAACAATAACGATTGGTGGCATTTTCTGTCATTCTCAGCATGAAAAAGGACAAGGAGTCATCGAGGAGAACGAAGTGTACAGCAACACACTAGCAGGAGTGTGGGTGACGACGGGGAGCACGCCGGTACTGAGGAGGAACAGGATACACAGCGGGAAGCAGGTAAGACTAAAGCTAGTTATTGGTAATAAAAAATGAAGCACTACATCACATCTAATTCATGWTTTAATCACATCACAAAAAAGCCTCATCAACTGTCTGAAATCACTTTGATTTTATTTACAAGGTTGGGGTTTACTTTTATGACAACGGCCACGGTGTGCTGGAGGACAACGATATCTATAATCACATGTACTCTGGAGTTCAGATAAGGTTTGTGGGATAATACATGAATAATTAGCAYGGAGTATTTAAAGTTCTGCTGTTAAAATGACCGACTCTGTCTCACCTCCCCCTCTCATGTGTCCTTGTTGACAGGACTGGCAGCAATCCTAAGATCAGGCGGAACAAGATCTGGGGGGGTCAGAATGGCGGCATTTTAGTTTACAACTCAGGTGAGATGTTGGGAAAAGACTGAAACAGAATCATTGTCTTTGTTTGATCATTGTCAACAAGCTCATTGTAACAGACTATTTTGTAGTTAGAAATGATCACAAATGCGCAAAGCAAGCCAATCTGATGCGTTTATTGAGAAGGGTCTATGTATTTACTCTAAACCAGTGGTTCCCAACCTTTTTAGACTTGTGTACCTCCTGAGCCATTCTGTCATACCACTAGTACCCCACTCTGTCAAACGTAATGATGATTCTCCAAAACTATAATGTACAACTGATTATTAAATAATTTAACCCCCTAGAACGTTTAATTCTCAGGCATTTTATGTTTTTCAACTTTAACATAAAGATAAATACATTGCCCTGAAAGTGAATAAGTAATAAAATAAACCAGGTGCAGAAAACAGCAGTGTCCAAAATATGTCAGAAACTCACCCAAATGAGCAAATTCCACGAGATTCCATGTTTTATACTGGATTCCATTTTGTGTTAATTCCGTGATTCCGTCAGCAATTTCTTCCTTGTGGAAATCATAGGGCCTACATATCTTAGTCCTATTTTTATTTATTTATTTATTTTTTACACACCTGGAAATTTTTCCACGTACCCCTGGTTGGGAATCATTGTTCTAAACTGATTTGTGTTAAACTTTCCTTTAGGATCATAGATGAGAATTTTCATAAATATCTAAGCTATGTGTGTTTTCTGAGTTTGTTAAATTTGCAAAATCAGTGTTTACATGGTGGACCTGTGACCTAGAAAGCTGGGCTTCACTATGCACATTTGTGATAAATGTCTTACTATGAAATGGTCTATTTTCTCTAATGAAAGAAATGTCAAAATGTTTTTTATTCAGGCTTAGGGCTCATTGAGGACAATGAGATCTTTGATAACGCAATGGCCGGTGTGTGGATCAAGACCGACAGTAACCCCACCCTGAGGAGAAACAAGATCCACGATGGGAGAGATGGTGGGATCTGTATATTCAACGGAGGAAGAGGTATAGCTGCCTCGTTTATTCATGTGAAATAAATAACAGATAATGATAAAGTTTCCAGCGCAGCTTTTTCTGACAGTACAGCTTTGTTTTGTCACTAGGTTTGCTAGAAGAGAACGACATCTTCAGAAATGCTCAAGCAGGTGTTCTCATCAGCACCAACAGTCACCCCGTGCTGAGGAAAAACAGGATATTTGATGGCTTCGCTGCAGGTTTGTAACACCTGCACACACAAGCTGTTCTGAACCGTTACTGAGAATTATGAGGCGTGCACGTCCTTCCATAAAATCCTTGTTAATGAGGGAAAAGTTCGCAGTACTCACAGTACTCTCTTTCCTGTAAGGTATTGAGATCACCAACCACGCTACAGCGACTTTAGAAGGCAATCAGATCTTCAACAATCGTTTTGGGGGATTGTTTCTTGCATCTGGTGTCAATGTTACAATGAAAGGTAAAGTATTTTTTTTATCCTTTTTTCTGCGATAAAGCAGAATTTATAATGTCTGCATTGTCTCCCTCAGATAATAAAATATTGAACAATCAAGACGCCATTGAAAAGGCTGTGAGCAGAGGTCAGTGCCTGTACAAGATTTCAAGTTACACCAGCTATCCGATGCACGATTTCTACAGGTACTTTTTAAAATAATGTCGATCATAATATGATCTGCAACGATAATATATTAATACAGTTTGTATTTTTGCAGGTGTCATACCTGTAACACTACAGACCGCAATGCCATTTGTGTGAACTGTATCAAGAAGTGTCACCAAGGACACGATGTGGAGTTCATCAGACACGACAGGTTAGTGTTTTTTTTTTAAGGATGGTACCATCAGAAATGTTTTTAGCCTTTTAATACACTGCCTGGCCAGAAAAAAGTGTCCACCTGGGYTTAACTAAGTGCGGGGATGTGGGGTTGCTGCCGTTGGTCAGGTCTAAGTGAGGTCGGCTGAATGTACTGAATGACCAGTTTATTCCATCAATGGATTTTTTWTTTTTTTTTTATGCCCTGATGGCACGGATATATTCCAAGATGATAATGGTTGAGTGGTTCAAGGAGCGTGAGATGTTTTCACAAATGGGTTGGCTCCACAGAGTCCACTGAGAATCTTTGGGATGTGCTGGAGAAGGCTTTGTGCAGCGGTCAGACTCTACCATCATCAATGCAAGAGCTGGGTGACGGAATTAATGCAACACTGGATGAAAATAAATCTTGTCATTGCAGAAGTTTATCTAAACAATGCCACTGTGAATGCATGCTGTAACCAAAGCTAAAGGTGGTCCAATGAAACATTAAGGGTCCCACATACTCGGGCGTACTGTGTGTGGTCCATGAGCCGCATGGACTCAGACGTTTGAGACTTTATACTCGAGCGTACCGACTGCCTGACAAATTCTTTAATTTCTCGCAATTTTAGTCAGGATGTCAAGGAYGAGCAGGAAGAGATAGTTTGCATTTTAGCTTTAAAACAACAAAAGAACTACTTAGTCAGGATCTGAGCTGTTTCCTCCCACAAATTTGTTGCTCACTGAAGGTCTTTATGATGCGTCAATGAAGGAATATAAAGTTTTCTAATCTCCTCCATGAGACGCTCTTCAAATTTTTACTCCCATTTCGTTGTAATCTCTGCATGGACCAGTCCGGTGGAACCGCTTCGACTCTGCACGGAAGTACGCTAGAGCAGCATTTCCCAAAGTTGGGGTCAGGACCCAAAGTGGGGTCCYGAAAAGATTTTCTGAATTAATTWCATTTWTGYCTTAGTKGTTACAAATGAGTGAGGTTAGTATATTTAAAATGGATAAATGTAGTATAAAAATATTGTTACTATGCCCATGTTTAGTTGACCTGATACAAATGTTTATCATCCAAAAATAGTTGTGGGCACAGATCTCTGCTACTGTTTTGTACTATTTTGTGGGTCAAAAGCTGAAAAGTTTGGGAACCACTGCACTTTGGTTCCCAAAGTTGGGCTTGGGACCCAATCATGGGTCACGAAGCACCTTGGATAATCTCCAGAAATCAATTTAAAGGGTAATAAAATAATTGCTGATGTAATATTTTCCCTATAATTATTACAAAAACACAAAACAAGTAAAATTAAGTATTTTTATTTGTATATAAGCTGTTTAAATTGTCAAAAAGCCTGTTTTTAGGGTTATTAACGAAGTTTATGTCCTCAGACCAGTAATATTTGGGGTCACAAGTTTTTGCCATGGATATTTTGTGGGTCAGAAGACAAAAAGTTTGGGAAGCACTGGTCTAGAGTATGTGTGTGTGAGACACATTTTCTTTCTTCGCCGGCAACTTTTTTTTTGGTCAGGCAGTCTACGTCAGCAAAAAGGGCTGCATGATATTAGAAAATTTAGCAGTGACGATATGAGCAATAATATAAATGTTTTTTTTTTCCTTTCTTCCATTTCTAATCTGTACTTCCTGCTTTGTGACCTTTAGCATTTTTGGCCATGTCATTTGTGTCTGGTGTGAGCTTTTGCTGCCGTGACACTCTTTGACTTGAAAATTACATCTTCAACTACACAAGTCAACAATGATTGCACTCCACGCAGTCCTTTGCCATATGAATATCGCACAATATATTGTGATGACGATATATTTACGATGTCGTTTGCAGCCCTAATAAGTAAATACTTGTTTTCACACCCAGGTTTATCGGCAAAAATGAGTTCTTACACTTTTTAAAATAAATAATTCACATCTTAAAAACTGTTTCCGATTTTTTTTCCCACGTTCTAGTGGAGTTTAATCAAAGTTACTTTTTCATTTCTCTAGATTCTTCTGTGACTGTGGCGCAGGAACGTTGTCCAATCCATGCACGTTAGCCGGAGAGCCAACACACGACACGGACACACTGTACGACTCTGCCCCCCCTATAGAGTCCAACACGCTGCAGCACAACTGAGCTCCAGACCCCGCCCCTCAAGCCCCTCTGCTTTAGCAGTAATGAACACTTTCAGTTGTGCAGCAGAGGAGAACCTCCTAACTGAAATATTCTTTGGCAGAGCATATACAGCAACTAAAACAAAGAAAACAAACACTTCAGATGTGAATATGCTAAAAGGGAGACATTAAAAAAAAAGACGGATGCCTCCTTTTTCCCTATGAAAAACTAAAATAAGAGTGATGGAGAGCGTTTGACTCGGGGTTTGTGTGGGTTCGTCATTAAGTGACAAGAAGCGAGACGGAAGAAAAACCACCGAAGCTCATCTTCAAAGCAGCACCAGAACAAGACACCGCAGTTATGTACAGGTCCGATGTGGACACTTATCCAGCGGAGGCACCGCCGTTTTCATCAGAGGGGGGAAAAAAAGCCCCAAATCCAACAATGCTTCCATCACAGAGCATCTGATGTGCTCAGATCCGTGTGGCGGAAGAACGACTTAGCACTTCAGCTTTTTCTGTTCGTTTTCCCTCGAAACTGTTCCGATTTGATTTTAATGCTTTTTGTGTAGTTTTGTATTTTCATGCGAAAATCTTAATGTACTTGAATGTCTTTATTTTATTCAGTGTGTTAATTTTTTTTGTTATTTACCCAGAATTGCTGTAATTATACTCAAGTCGCAGTAATCTAACTTCTTTCTGTGAAAGAGCTCAGAGAAAAGAGAGGAAAACACTAAATATTTTCTCCAGCAATGTTGACTTTTTTTTTCTTTTTTTGACAAGACTTGGATAGCTCATGTTTAAAACGTGTCAGTTATGCTATAACAGTCCAGTTTACATATTCTATGCATATTGTGTTTTATTTTTTAAAGTTGGGTTTGTCATAAAGTGATAAACTTGCATTTTTTTTCCCTACTTTGAAACCATGACAATTTACAACACATCCTGTGTCATTATCACGTTGTAAAATAAAGTCATTGCTGTTGGAGTTTTACACATTTGATTTAAGGGTCATTTCTCCTAAATTAAACTGTTTACATCTGGTCTCGTTTTAAAATTAAGTGCGTTCGTTATGAAGCATAATTGCTGCTTTGTAGTCTTTTACGTTTTTTTTTTACCCCCTTTTGATGCCAGACGTGATTTATATTTGCAAAAAGAAAAGTAACAAATCTTGAAAGCATAATTCCTTTTTTGATTTTTTTTTTAATTTGCCAATGTTGCTGGAGAATTTAAACAGCTTTTACTCTACAGAAGCTGAGACAAGTATCTATACAGCGCTTAATGGTTTCATTGCTGCCCCCCTCCCCGTTCATGTGTACTGGTGATTGTGGGTTCTCATACAGACTGAAATGTATGCATGTATCATAACATCTAGACTTAATATATTGTGAAGTATTCAATAACCGTTATGTAGGCGCTAGTGTGAATTAAAAAAAAGGGTTTAATTTCCTAGATGAAACATTGTCATTTTTAAAAAATAAACTTTATTAGATCATTTCAGTAGTGTTTTTCTTCCTCACCAGGTGCCTAACGAACAGAAAACAACAGTAAGGTTTGTTTACAAGTTAAAGGGTGTTGAGGAGTTGAACAAGTGGAGTGAAGTGAGCAGTGTCCGCAGTGGGATCCTCAGCAAACTGACAGAGCTTCCTGTAAGAACATGAAGGCACAATGAGCAGATGTTAGCATTAAAGCCATGTGAGATCTGCGGTGTATAAATATAAACCCGTACTTGAATAATCGGAGGCTGACGGTGCTTCTCTCGAACTCTCGGGCCTTTCTGTGTCCCGACTGGATCACCACCTCGGGTAAGTTGGCGAGTCGCGCGGCGTTGAACCCGTAGCTCTTTGGACAGGCGCCGGTGATGAACTTGTAGAGGAACGTGATGGTCTCCTGGCTCGGGTCCTCGCATTCGTTCTCCACCATGCAGGCCTGAAAGGAACCGAGGTTAAAACTCAAAATTACCAGACCGATCGGAATAAAAAACAGAACAAAGAAATAATAAATAATCAAATGCAATTCACAAGTAGATCTCTTGGTCTTTACGAGATAATTTTATATGTTAATCGACTTAGTAAATGTGTTTTATTTGCTGACGATACATTTTTTGTTTAGGTAAAGATATAGAAAACATGTTTGAGTCGGTACAGAAAGAATTTGAGAAAAGACTAAATTGGTTTCAACAAAACAAATTGTCATTAAATATGGATAAAACAAATTATACGATATTTAGTAATAGGAAGACAACTGTTGATTTTATGGTGTCATTGATGACATGGAGACCTCACATACATTATTTAAGAACAAAAATATCTAAATCTATTGGAGTACTGTGTAAAGTCAGGGACTTATTTAAGGACAAGTCTATGCTTGTGTTGTATAATTCAATAATTATTCCTCATTTAAGTTACTGTATTAAAGTCTGGAGTAAAGCTTGCTAAACAATTACAAATCCAATTTTTGTTTTACAGCAAAGAGCTGTAAGAATTATCGCGAAGAAAGATTACAACCATCCATCAAATATTTTGCAAACTGAAAATTTTGAAATTCTATGATTTGGTTGTTTATATTTTACTGTTTATGTACAAGGCTCACAGAAACATATTACCTTCCAACATTCAGGCAAACTTTGTTAAGAGAGACAGCTGTTATTATCTTAAGGGGATGGAAATGTTTGTGAAGCCATATTTTCATACTTGCTTGAGAGAAAAATGTACTTTAATCCAGGGTATAGTTTAATCCAAGGTATAGGATTATGGAACGGTCTGGAGGATGATCTTAAAAATGCCAGATCTATGTATATATTTAAGAGACAGATAAAAGCTAGTTTTCTGAAGGTCTATGGAAAAGTAAAATGTTGATGTTTTTATTTTTATTTAGTATTGTTTTGCAAATTATGTTTTGTTTGAATATATTCTGGGGATAAAAGGGTCAGACATAAGATTTATTCTTCTTCTGCTACGTTTCATTGTTTTATTTGTGTATTTTCTTTGTTTTCTATTGTGTATGGTTATTTCAATGAAGTGAATATATTTTTTTAATTGAACTGAATTATGTGTAACATTTACTCCAGCAGCAGGAACTTAAAGCAGGAGGTTGCAGGTTGTGGTTAGAGAAGTGAACATGATGCTGGAACAGGGGATGCAGCTGTGTTGTAATCTAGATGTGGCTACAACTGCTGAATTCATCCTCTCAAATTTACAGCTTTCACTTGCGTTGGCCTCCCTGCCACGTAAAACACGCTGGCATTTTCCTCAAAGTTGCTTTGCAATGCAATGAAACATAAATTCACAGTTTTCTGCAAGTTTTGGTAAAATAAAATTCAACATTTTTAGGATTTTTTGAAGTCAATTTAAGACGAAGCACAAACATTAGGTAAACAAGGTGTCACAACTGTTGCAGAAAATAAAACGTCTGTTAAAGTTTAAAAGAGCTGTTATATTTTTCCTGCAGCGTTTACAATGATTCAAACATACCATGTGTCCTAAACGCACTGCAGGATTGTTGGCGTAATCCTCCACCAGGGAGTGGTAATGCGTAGAGAAAAGCGTGCGACAGCAGATCTTCTCCGCGAGCTCCTTCACAACAGCGCTGGCGATGGCTGTGCCGTCGTACGTGGCAGTGCCCCTTCCTGGAACGATTGGCCATGAAAACAAAAGCACCACGACAGCAGCAAACCACGACAAGTACAAGAGATAAATACCCACCCAGTTCATCGAGGAGCACGAGGGAATGTTTGGTGGCGTGGTGCAAGATGGAGGCGGTCTCGCTCAGTTCCACGTAGAAGGTGCTCTCTCCTGCAGCAGGTACAGGAACACAGAGTTAGCCCTAAAGATCACTAACCAGCGTGTGGTGAACATGTTTGGGATGTTACCAGCCATGATTCGATCCGAGGCTCCCAGCCGGGTGAAGACCCGGTCGACTGGTGTGAAGCGGAGGCTCTCAGCGGGAACGTAACATCCCAGCTGAGCCAATATGATCACAAGTCCACACTAAAGGAAAGAGACAAAGCAGGGCGTCTTAATGCGCTTGCATGGTTCAAAATGACTATTTAAAAATATATATGTGACCCATCACATCGAAACGACCATGAAGTCCAAAAGTGAAATGTGGAGAAATAGGCAGCTATGTGACCCATCATATCGAAATGAAGATTAAGTCAAATTTGGTCAAAATGATCCAACTATATTTTTAGATTCCTGCTTTAAAAGCTTCATTTTGATAACTGGATCATTCTGATATAAGCTTATCCAGAGATAAGACTTATTTTGTCTTGTTTGTTATGATAACACATTACTGTTTGATCTGAATCCTATTTTCATGGAAATTTATTGAGTAATTTTTTATGTTAATATAAAGAGAAAACCTCAAATATTATTTGTATATTAAGATTTCCCAGTTGGAAAGAAACCAAAACATTTCTAGCTCACAGGGAAAATTTCAAAATATTAAGGCGTTTTTCCTCAAAATCAGGGTTTTTGTTGCTACTGTTAAAAAAAATGCTTCAAAATTTTTTTTTAGGATTATATTTCAGACAATTCATTCAAACATTGAAAAGGCTTTAATTCATTATGTTTGGACAAAATGCAATTTTTGCAGACGTTTTAATCAAAACCCTATATCTACCTTTTTCTCCATGTTCCACTTTTAGACTTAATCCTCATTTTGATGTGATGGCTCACATATAGGGTTTTGATTTAAAACGTGTGCAAAAATTGCATTTTGTCAAAATATAATGAATTATCGTATTTTTCGGACTATAAGCCGCGACTTTTTTCCTGAACTTTGAACCATGTGGCTTATAGTCCGGTGCGGCTTATAGGTGGATTTTTTTCTTCAGCTACCAGGGGGCTCTTATGCTGCATTTGCTTCAACCACTCGCTTCAAAAAAAGACAGGAAAAAAAAATGAAGAAAAAAGCGATCGCTTCCAGAGCCGACTGTTGTTCCAGGAAGCAGCGATTTAAAGATAGTCAATGGCCAAAAACTCATAAAAGGGGATAAAACAGACATTTTTCACGGTGGAATCTGACTGATAAAAACTTTGGAGCTTAATCCAGGACCAGTTTGTGGATAAACATCGAGTGAAGAGCTGCTGACTTTTTTTTTCCCGCATTGCACTCCCCGGGGAAGGAATCCCATGCAGTGACGTATGCTGGAGCAGGAGGGCTTTCCCAGCAGCTAGACTGGGGTTTCTCGGGGGTACTATGAAAGGTCAGTGCGAAAACAAACGCAGAACAATCACGTGACGGCGCGTCGACCGGTCGACAGCCGAGCGACCATAGCCGGATGTGTAGCGCCATTTTGTTTTAGCTAGTAGCAGACACGACACGACGGATCTTCGACAGACACAATATTGGACAGTATGTGGGCCCACATCACGGATTCGTTGAAAGCAGCCATCAAGAAAACAAACTCAATTCCTGCTGTTGTTCCTGGAGGTACAACAAAGTTTTTGCAACCCCTGGACRTCRGTGTGRATCGTGCATTTAAAGCAGCACTCAGGGCTGAATGGGAGGCTTGGATGAGTGACGGGGATAAATCATTCACAAAAACTGGCCAAATGTGAAGAGCGTCATTTCCTGATGTCTGCCAGTGGATCCTAACAGCGTGGAGCAGAGTGAATGAGTCCACCATCACCAGTGGGTTCTGAAAGGCTGGACTGCAACATGAAGACGACACCACAGCTTCAGAGCCAGCATTACCCCGGGAGGACAACAGATACCGCTGTGTGACGCAGCTTTTCTCAGCTTGTTTAACTCCGACATTGAAGAGGAGGACTTCGATGGTTTCAGTGCGCCGGAGGACGATGAATGAGACGTTTTGTTGGACCAGAAACTGTTAAAGAAAACTACCAAAATAAGGTCAGTTAAACGAACCGTATTCCTCCGAACTTTAATTCCTAAAGGTTTGCTTTTTATGTTTTGATGTTGATTTCACTTTTTTGACGACAATTTTGGGTGTACTGGTTTGTTGTCTTTTTTTTTATGTTGGGGGTGCGGCTTATATGTTAGTGTTCGCAGGTTTTTGTTTTTTTTTTTAAATGGCTTATAGTCCGAAAAATACGGTAATGCCTTATCAATGAATCATTTGAATGAACTATCTAAATATAATCCTTTAAAAATATAACAAATTTTGAAGCATTTTTTGAGCAGTAACAAAAAAAATATAAGATTGTGAGGAAAAACACCTCAACATTTTTTGAATTTTTTCCTGTGAGCTAGAAATGATTTTTTCTTTCCTCCAACTGGGAAGTCTTAATACACAAATACTGTTTGAGGTTTTCTCTTTATATTGACAAAAAAAATTACTCAAAAAATTCACATAAAATTAGGATTTAGACCAAACAGTAATGTATTTTTGTAACCAACAAGACAAATTAAGTCATATCTCTGGATAAGCTTATGAAAGAATGATCCAGGTATCAAAATGAAGCTTTTAAATCAGGAATCTGAAAATGTAATTAGGTCATTTTAACCAAATTTGACTTAATCGTCATTTCGATATGATGGCTCACATGAGACTCACTTGTCGCATGAGGGTCGACTTGCCGCCCATGTTGGGTCCTGTGACCAGAACACACGAGGCACAACCTTCCACCTCGTCGCTTTCACTGTTTCCAGGACAGCCAATGAAGACGTCGTTGGGAATGAAGTCGTCACCGAAAAACGTCTTTGTGACACAGGGGTGACGGGATCCGGTTAGGCTAACGAAGGGCACGACCTGGCCGTCATCCTCCGGCAGCACCACCTGCGGCCTGGCCATCGGCCCGTCTCCACCCTGACTGTAGCGTGACAAAGCCAACAGGACATCTAGGAAGCGAAAAATAAAATAAAATAAATAAATAAACAAACATTTTACTTGTAACTCTTTAACCCAAAATTATGTTTTTGTTTTTTGTGGTTGAGGGATGGCTTAGTGGTAGATCTGAGAATCTAAACTAGCATATAGCGTTCAAAAGTAGGGCTGGATTAAAAAAAAATCGATTAAATCGATCTTGGATTGATTTCCTTTAAATTTGGGAAAATCCATTCACGGGGCATGAGATCGATTCTTCCTCGTGGCGTCTTGTGAGCGCGTCTGAAACGCGTTTTTATATTTTGTCACTCCTGGCTTGCCGTATGTTTACATCTAGTTGACGCTCAGTGCAAACATTAGCTTTCGATAAGTTGTCCGGAGCAAAACAAAAGTAACTAAGGAATCACTAATGTTACAGCTGATTCTCAGCTGACCTTAAAGACAACAGAGACCATGGTGACTTTTATTTGCAAAGATTTGTGCTCCTATGTGGTGGCGAAAACGAAGCAGGGTTTGACGAGCAGCTCGTTAGGCGCTCGAACCAAACCACTGTATGTAAACGTCTGACTGAAACTGTTCTCAACAGCATGTAGAAATGTGTGAGAGATGACATTCTGACAAAATTTTGTTACCAATATTACTATATTTAAACTTTAAGAAACGTCTTAACGAAATCCACTGATGAAATGTTGTCGCTGTATTATTTGTTTTAATAAGTAACAAGTTTTAATAAGTTATATATTAAACATAACAGAAGGTAACAGAAACATTAAAAATGTACAGTTTTCATACACTCAAAAAGGAGTGGGCAGAAGTTTATTTATATTATTTCTTCTCCTTTAACCTTATTCTGTCATTTCTTATTTATCAAGAAAATTATTAATTACCTAAAAATGAATTCCTCCAACAACACAGTCACCTGCAACTCCTTTTTAATTCAAAACCTTTTAAACTTGACAGTTTTCCTTCAAGATTAATTGGTTTAATAGAAAAGTTTGTCCTTAAAACCTGTTTATTCTGAAGAGAAAAAATAGTGATATTGTATTTTGCAACACATGAACCATTTTCATTATTTAAGAGCAGATCAATTGAATTGAATCGTGATGAATCGATTCAGAACTGATTGAGAATCGATCATGATACCCAGCCCTACTGAAAAGCTAAAAAAGAAAGTTCAGCTGAAAGGACAGAGATTAATATGAATAATAATAATAATCTTACCCAGCACAGCCATGCACTCCACTCCCGTCTTCCAGTCTTTGTAGTTCTTGTCGAAGTTGTAGAAGAGCCTCCTCATGCAGTCCTTCAGTGCAGCGTCCCTCTTCTCCTCAAAGCCTTGGAGCTCAGAGAACAGACGCTCAGACTCCTTCGTTACGTAACGCTTGCAGCCTTTCTTTGTCGACTTCACTTCGTACTCCTCGGGGATGTTCCGCTCCGAGACGCTGTCGGGAACTTCCATCTGAAAGCGGTTCCGTCCCGTTCCCCAGAAGGCCATGCTCTTACAGCCGAGGCGCTTCTTCTGCCTGTCCAGGTAATCCTGCAGCTCTCGCTCGCAGCTCTTGATTCCTGCCAGAGCCTGGTCGTACTCGGGGTCAAACCCAGCTTTGGGGGTTATGACGCCGGTAGAGCGGGCTTTCTGGTGATCGAAAGCAGTCTCCCAGCGCTTGAGTTCCGCTGAGAGGTCGGGAAAGAGGCCGTCCTTTTCTGTCTTCATGCTGACAACTTGAAGGAGCAACTTGGAACGAAACTCGCCCGAAACCGTGGCGAAGATGGAAACGATCTCCTGCATGGTTTTGAAACCTTCCAGCGCGGAGAGGAAGTCCGCGATCTTGCGTTTGCTGTAGGTGACGTCCTCGTAGAGAACCGCTCTGCTGTCGGGGTGGTCCTGGCCCTTCAACGGAGTCCCGATGCTGTGGATTTTACTCAGCAGCCGCTCCAGATCCGGAAGCTTCTTCAGCAGATCCGAGACTTCGGCTGCTTGAGCCTGAGCTCCCATCAGGTCCTCCACTGCGTCCAGTCGGTCCTCGATGGATGTGGGGTTACACAGCGGAGCGCAGAGCCACTGCTTCAGGAGCCTCTTGCCGAAAGGAGTGGAACAAGTGTCCAAACGCTCCAGCAGCGTCCCCTCGGTTCCCCCGGACCCATTCTGAAAGATCTCCAAGTTTGCCAGCGTCACTCCATCCAGAACCATACGCTGACGAGTCTGAGCAAAAAAACTGCCGGGTCCGGTTGCGCTCTCCAGCTCCACATCAACAGGGACGTATTCTTCAAAGTTAGCCATAGACAGCAGCTCTTTATCTATCAGACATTTCTTCAGGTAGAAAATGCATCCGCCCAAAGCTGAGAGAGCCAGCTCATAGCCTTCTCTGGGCGTCAAGCACAGGGAGTCACTTTCAGAGGTCATCTGCCTCAGGACAGCGGGGAGGAAACTGCTGCCAGGGCTCCGCTCCTCTCCAGGCATCTCTGCAAAATAATTCTCCTCCGACAGGTTTTTAAGAGTTTTCTGAGCGTCCCAGAACTGGGTTCCCGCATTCAGGGCTTCCTGCAGCGCCGAGGACAGAGACGCCTTGAGTATTTTCCGTGTCTCCACGGACGGGTTGCCCTTTTCGAAAAGCACCTCGGCCGGAGAGAAGTGCGATACCAGGGTGCGCAGGCGCGAGCAGTGGCGGTCGTCCGAGAACTGGCCGACGTGGAAGTACCCCACAGACGTGTCCACGAAGCAGACGCCGTAAGTGCGGCGCCGGCCGGAGCTTTCGTCCTCGGCCTTTTCTTTCAGACTGAGAAGGAACTTGCTCTGACTCTCTGAGGGAGCGCCGTCCAGCACGCTGTAGGTTTGGGTGCCGCGCGTGATAATTCGGCACACTTCTCTTTTCACTACGCGGTCGAACTTGGTGGGTTTCACCATGGTCTTGCAGCGGGCTTCCATCATCTCAGGGGTCTCGGTCTGCTCCACGCGGGCCACCTTGTATCCTTTCTGAACCAGCACGTCTGAGAAACGAGCAAATCCGATCTCCGGGAAGCCCGAGTGCGCCCAGGACCCCTTCATGAAAGTCAGGCCCAGCTCGTTGACGCCGATGACGGCATCCATGTGGTAGAGCTCGTAAAACTTGCCCACCTTGTAGAAAATGACAGTATCGAACATCTCGGATTTGAGTTGCCACCAGCGACGTATACCGGGAGTGATTTTGTTCAGAAAGTCTTCGGGAACGTACAACGTGGTGGGATCATGGTCGTCGTCGGTCTGCCGTCGCCTTTTTCGGTCTTTCCTCTTGCCGTCCTGTAACCACTCCAGCTTCTCGTGATCCCAAATCGTTGCACCTCCGGCGGACCCCGCTCCTTCTGTTTGGCTCTCAAAGTTATCAGGAGCGGAGAACGCTAATAAGCGGGACTTTGTATCAGCGGTGACCGCTCGTACAGGTGCAGCGGACTGGACAACCGCTTTCTTTGGTTTCATATTTACAGGCTTCCCCGCAGGACGTTTCCGCTTTAGGGGTTTGACCGGGCTTTCTGCTTCTGACTCTTGGCTGCTCTCCTTCTCTTCCTCAGCACTGCTCACCGTCCCCCCTTCGCCTTCATCCTCACTGCTGGACGCAGCGTGTTCCGGTTTGAACTCCTCGTCTGATTCGTCGCTATCGGAGGCCACTACGATGCGCCGTCGCTTGGCTTTGCTCGCTTCATCCTTTGAAGAGCGCGTCGATTGTCGACTGACTTTAGACGGTTTCACTTCCTTGTTTTTCTTTTCATCTACATCACTGACATCTTCATCTGTTACACTTGATTCGCCAAGCTGCAAGTAAAATTGAGAAAGTTTTTAAAATGTGTAATCTCCATTACTAACTCACCTATAGTCAAAAAACACAACACGTATTTTTATTAGGGCTGTGAAATTAATCAAGTTAACTCATATTTATTAATTTTAGTGCTGGGCAAAGATTTAAATTTTTAATGGTGATTAAAATTTACAATCACTTTACTATGGCTGAATATGTAGGTTTGTATATTGCAATGCACTCAGTGCATGCCAGGTCATGTTTGTAAATGAGAAGTGGTTCTCAAACTGTTTATCTGGATAAATAAAGGTTAAATAAAATAAATAAATTTAAAAAACTCAATGTGTAACACATTATGTACAGCTTTTTTGTATTTTTGTCTTCTCATGGCTTATTTTACTTTATTTATTTATGTTTTGCTGACAACTGTGATGTTAGCATCCATCTTTCATTCCTCATGAAGTACTCATTTGGAATGAAAATCTTTGAATTCTTGATTTAACCTCTTTTTTAGTGTTATTATTGTCTGAAGTTAATTTTGGAAAAAAGGGGCAGATATAAGATTTTTTTTTCTTCTTTCTGCCTCCTTTCATTTTAAGTGATTTTTTTTTTCTCTGTGTATAAAATTTTTATTTTTATATGAAATGAATAAATTAATTAAATAAATTAAAATTATTTTTGCACAAAATTTAACTGACTCAAATATGTTTAGAGCATTTTTTTAAGTCCTGTTTTCTATTCAAAAAATCATGTCTAAGCATCAATTTTGTTCTCTAAATAAAAACATTAAAAACTAATTAATAACTCAAGTAATTTATTTTATCAGTTTGCAATAGAAATGTATATTAAATTTAAGATTAATCGTGATTACTTCACAGCTACGTTGTGATTAAGCTGATTAAAAATATTAACCACTTGACAGCCCTAGTTATTATTGCTGACAAAGACAAAATATTACCTCCATTTCCTCCTCATCTTCTTCCTCCTCATCAGATGGATCCATGCAGATTGGTATTTTCAACCTTTTTTCAGGACTGTCAAAAACAAGTCCATCAGCGAGCTCCATTGCACGGCGAATCACAGGTTTGCCACTGAAGAACACTCCTCCAGGTTTTACATCACTACTGTCAGAGCCTGCAGACCAGACATAACTCATCTTACTCTCCAGACAGAACACAAAATATTCCCAAAACAGCTTAACAACCATCAGACTGAGTTATATTCTGATTATGTCTAATAACTCTACCAACCTTGATAGGCTCTGACATATTTGGTGCTGACCCACCCTCTTGTAGGAGGTTTGTCAAAAAAATGCACATGTATGCGTTGATCCCGACCACACTTCCTCGTCTGCTGGCCAGTCAGAGGTTGGGGTACGACCATGCAAGGCCACCAGGGGTGTCCTTCCAGTTTTGCCCACACAAGGTCACCAGCACTGAACAAGGTGGAGTTACTAAAAAAAATGGATAAAAAACAAACAAGCACAAGACTGTGAGAGACAGACATTTAGAAGAATCTTATTCTTTAGTTAAGCACTGACTAACACAGTCATTTGACATTATTATACTCATCTATATAGTTGGTCATTTATCTCACCCACCATGTGACAAACACAGAGAAAGTCGTCTTAGCTATAGGAGACAGATTCTGAACTAGTGCTGCTAGCTTTAAAGCTTCAACTATTAAATTCACCTAAGAAAGTCAAATCTGATTTTTATTATTTATAGTCCATCATAAACCATTAGTTGACTGCACTATTGAACACAAACTACAAGAACACAAAAAAGCAATGTGGCTGTAATATTTAAGCAATAAAATTGATCTTTTAATCGTTGGAAATGGAAGCAAAGCACGCCTCTACGACAAAACTAAAATAACAGCTTCACTAGAGCACTAACCTTATTTAGTCTTTATTTTTATGGCCTGTAATTTATTTAAATGGCTACAAATAAGACAGCTGAACTCAATGTTAAAATTGTAAGATGTGGGAAGTAAAACTTGCCACAAAACATCTATTTTACTGAAATGACAAAGCTGCTTTTTGAGGAAGAGATGTACCCTGTTTGTTATATTTTAACATTAGTGGTACAACAACATGCTAACTAGTCTTTATTATTACATGGTGATCTGATACCTAACTAACTCAAAGAATGAGATGTAGGACTGGTTTCATACCTGAAAAATAACTAAAAGCAGAACATTTCATTGAGGCTTGCAGAGCCAATTGTCACAAAGTTAAACTCCAGGAATTACACGGCTCCCGAAAACTAACCTGCTGTTTTCTGTCGCCGGGGCTTTAGCGCCGTCGAACAGCTTCTTGAACCCTTTGCTGCTCGAAGACTTTGAGTTGTTTTTCTGTTTAAGTTTGTTGGGTTTGGACGACTCCGGCTGCTCCGTCTGCTTGGCTTCTTCTTTAGGGGACGAGTTGGACTTCTGCACCGAGGAAGGCAGGTCCGCCTCGGCCGGAGAAGGGCTCGGCTTCGGCTTGTTGTTGGACGCAGGCGGCGGAGACTTGGTGAAGAACTTGAAGATAGAGCTTTGCTTCGCCATGTTGGCGGCTTACAGCTTCTACTTTTGTTTCAAAATATATTACGACAGCTACCTAGCATCCAACCGAGTCGCGCGGCAAGCAGCTCGAGCCTCGCGGGAAGGGGAAGAAAAAAAAAACCCGCGAGATGTAGTGGGCGTGGACACCAGCGTCCTCCATAGACAAGCGACTACACTGCAACGTGGAAATCACGTGACACAAACACGTTCCTGCAGACAATTATTTTTTTCACATTTTTTCTCTGAACTTTATTTCTTTGAGAACATTCACAACATATAATACTGAGAGAAAACAATTCTTGATGCCATAATCATTAAATTATTAAATTAACATTGATTATTAAATAGTTTTTTTTGCAAATGTGAGCATGTTTATATTGAAATGTGGACATATGAGAGTAAATGTAAATAGATTTAATTACATATCTTTGTTTACATGTGTGTTTATGTGGCCCTTGATGGCCAAATAAATGGGGATGAGCAAAATTGGCAAAAAAAATACATATTTTTAATTTTTTCATAATTGATATATGCAAAAATTAGTCCATAAAGATGCCATCTAACAATGGCGGTGAGCATATAATTTTAATAATTGACCTAAAAATTACAATTCTTGTCTTATAACCTTTAATTTCTGTAAGATATGTTCTTCACAATTGACCATATTTCTTTGGCTGCTGTAAGTCTGGGGAAATCCCTTTGTATAATGTTTGGCGTCATTATGAAACTCAGATATTCCACTTTTTAATTATAGGGTTGGATCCCAGATTAATAAAAACTCTTTTCTAATCGACCCACTATTGCCAAGCCAGGTGATAAATTGTCAAATTTCAACAAACTTAACACTGAAAAACATCTTATTGTGACTTGTTTTAGCACAGTCACATGGTGGCAATGGCAAGTGGTTGAATCATCCTCCCTGGTCCCCCCCCTTCCAAATGCAAAGGAGTTGCTACGGTGTCTCTCAGGTGTCACAAACCTTTGATAATTCCAACCGCGATGTCTACCAGC